AAACCTCACAATATATCTCGGGGTTTATGGGCTAGATTTCTTTCTTAAGGACCATGCCTTAAACCTAATCACTATGGCTCTCATTGATTGGCTAACAATAAGTCCCAGGCCAAGTTGGCCTAGAGTGAATGTACATAGCAGTTGTTTCTGTTTTAGCCAGAAACCCTGAGGGTCTTCTCCTCCTAGATTGATTTTTTTAAAAACTAGTTAAAAGAGGCCATTCTCTGCTTTATTTCTTACCTAGCTTTAATCACTGAATAGATGTTGCCTCAGTCAAACTGAGACCAATTAAAGACCTTAGCTCAAAAAGGCCAAGGTCTCCCACTGCATCCAGGGCCATCTCCAGTCATCCTGATGTATATCGTGCCACTTGACCCAGATGGTTCCAGAGGAGAAATTGAGGCTGGTGACTTTGCACAGCCTTGCCTCATATAAATCCAATTCACTTGCATGTCATGGAATAACCTCCCTGATGTCATGGTCCTCTTTGAGAATGAGGGATAAGCAACAACAATAGTGAGTCCATGGAAGAAACAGGACTAAAACTTTACTCTCCAAGACTCCTCCAGTCTAGCCTAGTCATCAGTTTCCTGATGAGACTGTCCAATTGTTGTTAGAGGTGAAAGGTTTGATTAAGCCTGCTATGAATATTTTGCTCAGAACATGGATCAATTTCACCTGCAACTCACATTTTTAGCGAAACATCACTGTGATGTCTTGAAGTTCGCCTGAACAGTGAACCCATTACCGTTCATGTTATGTTAATTACAACTTGGTTTTTTTTTGGTTTTGTTTTGTTTTTTTAGTGAGGCAATTGGGGTTAAGTGACTTGCCCAAGGTCACACAGTTAGTATGTGTCAAATGTTTGGTCTGAGGCCGCATTTGAACTCAGGTCCTCCTGACTTCAGGGCCAGTGTTCTATCCACTGCACCACCTAGCTGCCCCTACAACTTGGTTTTAAAAGAAGACATATAATACTTGGAAAATGTCACTTTAAGTTTACAATGTATCTTTATTCTCTGATGTTCAATGGATATTATCTTAATCATATAAATTCACAATATCTTGGAAATGACAAGGATCAATCATCATTATCTCCTACTTTTCAGGTAGGGAAACACAGAAAATATATTAGTCATAGACCTAGGATTTATATTAAGGCTTCTCATTTTTTTCCTGAAAAGTTTTATGTGTATATAACACTTGGCCAGAAAGTAATCTAATAAACAAAACAACACCATAGAAAGGTAGATGAGGAGGTCCTACCTCAAGTATCTAAAGCAAATGAAACAATACCCCAATCATGGGAGATGTTATTAAAGGATTTTTAAAAATATGGCTTCCCTAAGTTTATTTATTTATAGAATTTCAATTTTGGGATCAGGGACTTGAGAGCTTTATGGATGTAAAGATTATCTTTACTCCAACTCCCTCATTTAAACAGAGAAGAAACTGAAGCTCCAAAAAGTAACTCACACATGGTCACACAGCTAAGCACAGCCTGGGCTTGAACCTATCTGATTTATGAGCTCTCAACAGGAGTCATCTTTGTTTTAAAAATCATAGCATCAAATATTTAGTGCTGGAAAGAACCTTAGAAACCCTCAGAACTCAAATCACACTCAAACTTGCAAATGAGAAAAGTGAGAAAAAGAGATATGAAGTGACTTGCCCAAGTTCATTGTACTAGTAAGTTTCTGAGGTGATATTTAAACCCAGGTCCTTCTGATTCCAACTTAAGTGCTATCTACTATAACATATTGTTTCTCATAGAAAGCACTGTATATACTGCTGGCATCATAGGTATAAAGAAGACAGCTATTCATATCTGTCAAAACCTTAAAATTGGGGGTCGAAGGGGTTGGAAGACATTCAATGTATTATTATAGCTATGATACAATAAACTCTTAATTATCCAACAAAACAGAATAAGTTGTCCTGATTTGGTGAATAACAAGATTAAAAAGAGAACAATAAAGTAGGGCCAGTATGGTATAACAGAAACACTAGATAAAGAGTCAGGAGACCTGAATTCAAGTCCCAGACTGCACATTAATAACTGTGTGACCCTAGGCAGTAACACAAACTCTTAAGCCTTAATTTCCTCATCTACAAAACATGGTAACATTTGAACTCTTTAACCCACAGTATTGTTTTGAAGGAAAAAAGCTATAAACTAAAACACACTTTATAAAGGGGAATTATTATTACAACTACTACATGTAATATTATTAGAATACTAAATTTCAAAACTGTAGGAGATATGCTTAATATTTGCTGCTGTCATTCAGTCATTTCAGTTGTGTCTGACTCTCCGTGACCTCATTTGTGATTTTCTTGGCAAAGATACTGGAGTGGTTTGCCATTTCCTTCTCCAGCTTATTTTATACATAAGGAAACTGAGGCAAACAGGGTTAAGTAACTTGTCACACAGCTAGTTAGTGTCTGAGGGCAGATTTGAACTCAGGTTTTCCTGACTCCAGGCCTGGTGTTCTATCTGCTGCGCCACCTACATGCCCCTACTGAATACTACCTATATACAATTGAATCTTTCTTTGATGATTTAAAAGGATATTGCAGTGGCCTCAGCCTTTACTATGAATAACTAGTACACTTGGGATACACATAAGCAAAAATGGCAACCAGTAAAAATTTGGGGTTCATAGACAACTATATTAACCAGTTATGTTCTGGCTTATTTTATGTATATTCCAAAGAGACTAAAGAAGAATTTGCACTCAACACCTTGCCATCATCCACAAATGCATAGTTCTTCCCATCCCTAATACTTTCTTTTCCCTGCCACTCTCTGAAGCCATCATTCTATATATTCCTCCCTTTTCTATTCAATACTAACCTTCTTTTTTTTCTTTTTCTTTAGGCAATTGGGGTTAAGCGACTTGCCCAGGGTTACACAGCTAGTAAGTATCAAGTGTTTAGTCTGAGGCTGGGATTTGAACTCAGGTCCTTCTGACTCCAGGACTGGTGCTCTATCTACTGCACCTGCGCCACCTAGCTGCCCCAATACTAAACTTCTAAAAAGGGTAGTTAATACTTGCTGCCTCCATTTTACCTCCCACTCACTCCTTACCTTTTGCAATCTGGCTGGCAACCTGCTGGTCAACTGAAACTGGAATCTTAAAGGTCAACAAAAGAGCTCTCAATTGCTTGGTTAATGATGGCCTTTTTCCAGTCTTGACTTTTCAGTAGCATTCAACATTGATAACCATTCCTTCCCTCCTGGACACATTCCTCTTTGGTGACTATAGTAAAAATGTCCTTTCCCAGTTCCCCCACCTATCCAACCCCTCCTTCTTGGTCTTCTTTGATGGTTCTGCAATCTCTGACCCCAAAGTGTAACTGTCTGTCAGGTTATCAGTGAAAGAACACACACCAGTAAGATCTTGGACTCTCAAAGTATTAAAAGTAAAGAATAGCTTAAATGTAATAGTTTTGGAGGTGAGGTTTGAAGCCAGGTCCCCTGACTTCAGAGCCAATGTTCTTCTCACTATACCACGCAGTCTTCTCTCTTCATAAATGTGGAAACTGAGGCTCAAAATGTCTTGCCTAGAGACTCAAGAAACATTAAGGAGTAGAATTAAGGTTCAAATCCAGTTATGTGGGAAGAATCATTCTACTAAGGTCTAATAGATAAGCTGTGACTGTGAAGTAATGACAGTCACTTTCCTGCAGTTTGTGCAAACAGTTTTATTACTTTACAGTTATGTCTTATAAAGATGACTCACCAAATCATTTAATATGTAAGATTCTTCAGTGAAGTTGTATGTTACCAAGATCAGAGCTATATTTGTGTACATAATTAATACTGTTTAATAATGGTAGTGGTGGTAGGCACAGATGCCAAATTTCAACTTCATCAATTTCTAAAGTAATTTCTGATAACCAATTAAAGGTTATGACATACCAGGTATGTCATTATTAGTGGTAACATCATCACCACACCATTGTTTCTTCTGATTGAGAATAAAAGAGGGAAGAGGGTCTCTTTTACCTCATTATTCACATCTAGTACTGTCTATCCATCAAATACAAGCAAAGGAAAGTACAATAAATGTGCAAGAAAGTCTTTCTAATATTTGGTTTTACAAGATATCTAACTTGCTGTAGTCTGGGATTGGGTTTGCAAAGTACTTAACCACTCTGTGCCTGTTTCCTCACCTTTAAAATGAATAGCTTGGATTTGATGACCTCCAAGATTCCTTCCAGCTCTAGACCTAAAATCTAAGAAGAGTGGAATCTTAAAGACAAAGCTTATGGTCAAATCAAAACTCAAGGGGCAGTTAGGCGGAGTGGCAGAGAGAACACCAAGGCTGGAGGCATGAAGTCCTCAAATTTGGCATCAGATATTAGCTATGTTACCCTGGGAGAATCACTTAACTTGTTTGCCTCAGTTTCCTTATCTGTAAAATGGGAATAATAATAGCACCTACCTCCCCAGGTTATTGGACAACTAGATGGCACAGTGGATAGAGTAACAGCCCTAGAGTCAAGAGGACCTGAGTTCAAATCCAGCTTCAGACACTTACTTAGCTGTGTGCCCCTTGGGAAGTCACTTAAACATGTTTGCCTAAGCTTCCTCATCTGTAAAAATGGACTAGAGAAGGCAAGGGCAAACCATCCCAGTATCTTTACCAAGAAAACCCCAAATGGGAGCAGAAGAGTCAGATACAACTGAAAAATGATTGAAAACACAAGGTTGTTGTAAGGATCAAATGAAATAATAATTGTAAAGTGTTTAGCATAGTGCCTGGCACATAGTGAGTGCAATATAAAATAAATGTTGGTTATTATTGTTATTACTATTGTTTCATGAAAGAAAGGCATGTCCATGGTGCTTCTTCTTTATCACTTTCCTCCTGATATATCCTACAGTGTTAATCTCTTCTTGTTCCTCCCTCCCTTCTCTTAGAAAATGGAGAAGCAGACTAACCCTATGGTCTTCCAGCTTGGCCTTAGTCTCAACTATGACACACAAGGCATCATCACAAGAGAGCTTTACACAAAAGCCCTAAATTTATTTCCAACATTGCTTTACATTCCATTCAACTTACAATCCTGCCTTCAGTTTGTGAAGAACAAAAAAATTTTCCTTGCTCCAGGGCAAGACAAGACATGACGGGAGCTGGCTAACATCAATGAGGCAAGCCTGATTTTGCATGAAGTGCTTGTAAGAGTGATTCTTTTGATTCATTAAGGCAGCCAAAGACATTCTGAACCACAGATACACCCTTTTAGTTCTTGTTCTTCCTGACTCCTTAAAAAATAAACATAAAAACAAAACAATCTCACTTTTCACATTTGCTCTGCTTCAGATTAAAGGTAAAGAATACAAAACCAGCAAACAAAGAAATCCTCTACTAAAATCAAATAGTATCTTCATGTATGATGGCTTATCATGTTTCTAAGACTCTTAAATTACTGTACAATTTGAAACACTGGCTCACTAAGATACTATTTTCATTTCTTAGAGAAATTTTAGAATATAGTAGAACCATCAGACATGAAGTGATGGGAAAAAAAATTAGAAATCTATTTTTATTTTTAAAGGTGAGGGGAAAAAGGGTGAGAGGAGAGGAACACTGGCTATTCTATTGATTTATTCCAGGATTTTTAAAAAATTACTCTTAGTAAATATTTTCTACTGCTAATAATTCATTTACCAAACAATTCCCAGTTGAGAACAGGAAATTACTGTAGATTTTAAAAGTCTATTCCCTTCAAGATTTTTGTGCCTGGGTTTCCACCTATGAAAATCATATACATACAGTTTTAAAGAAGTAAAACATTTCTTACACAGATAATATACAAACTACTCAATATATTTTACATTAAAATCTCCTTTAATGAAGCAATAAAGACCTATACAAGATTTCAGAAACTGCAGAGTGGACAAACAGCAGCTCTAATGCCCCATCCCCGACAGACACACCTAGGCTTAGAGCAGTCCTATCCTCAAGGCAGGACAGTGTCTTCTTGGCATTTATTTCAGGAATACATGGTCAGTTCCAGCCATTCTTGAATATTTACTTGAATTTGTCCATCTCGATCTCCATCTAGTGACTTGAAGGAACGAAACATGGCATCCAGACGTATCAGGCAGCTAATGAAGTTGTTAAAATCCATGCTTCCATCTTCTTCAGTGTATCTACGGATAATCAGTTGGTAAAGTTGCTCATTTAACTGGAAGCCTGCTGCCTGAATAGCTTCCTTCAGCTGCATTCTCCCAAGAGAAGTGGAATGGTCAGTGTTATACTGCTTGTAAACACATTGCCATTTCTTGATGTTGTTCCACAAGTACTTAAATTCCTCAAATCCTAGTTTTCCAGTTGTATCACTATCCATGACAGCTACAATGCTTGTTAAAATATTATATGAAATTATATTACTTTAAAAATATAATAAATACCTATATAATACATACTATTCAGTATTTGAATAGTGTAATATTGAACACTCATTGTGCACAGAGCTATCCATCTTTTCTTTGCTTCCTTGTAAATTTTCTTTTGTTCTCTGCTGTGCACTTTTTACTTTGTTCTCCCCCCCCCTTACTCCCTGCACCCAAGAAGGCTACAATTAAGGGTGGAGATATACGTGTGTATATGTATATACATATACACACATATATAGACACATAAACATGTATACATATACACATATATAATATACTTACATATATATATATATGTATATATATATATATATATATATATATATATACATATACTTAGATATCTGTGGTCATACTGATACATACGCATATACATTTATATTCATCTATGTAAGACCATACTTGTTTGTCCTCTGTTTCTCTTGAGGGTGGATAAAATATTCCTTGGTAGGTCCAAGTCTTTCCATATTTTTCTATATCTAAATCATTTCTTACTGCAATTAGGTTAATTTCACCTTAATTGGTCTCCATAATCATCATTTTCTTATAAACATTTTAGAGATCTGAAGGTGGTTATTAAATCATTCTTATGTTTTTTCATCTCTAGACTAATTAACCTCAACATCATTTACCTATTCTCAAGGTCCTAATGAACACCTTCATCATTTTTGTGGTTACATTTTTTTACTCTAATTTCTCCACATGGAACCTAAAATGGAGACCTACACTGGCTACAGTTCTCTAAAAAGGAGCTTGACTAATACCTACAATAAAGAAATTATTCCATCTGGCCATAAATTTCCAAAGTAGGCAATGCCATCACATGAGGGGTGGTGCACTGGAAAGATATAAGGGTTGGGTGGCAGCCGTAGCCTCAGGTGCAATTAGGGGCATTGAATAAAAATAAGGGGGCAGTGGAAGCATAAGAAGAAAAACAAAGAAAATTTTGAAAAACTATTCATGCATTTTTCATCTATTGCATAACACAGTTAAAGTCATAGTGATTACATTAATTTCCAAATAAACACACAAAATGCAAGTTATAATCCATCAGCGGTCAAGTCTGCTGACGGATCTTAACAAGCCAGTGTTGGCAGGCAAGCGTGACATGCCTTGTTTGGAAGTCCAACATGCATGGGCAGAAATATGTGTGTGTAATGACTTGCTTATAATATGATACCATATGGTTACATGATGCAATATTGCATCATCAAAATTTCAATACAGGAAAAAAACACAAATTTATAATAAATCATTAAATTTAAGATGCATAATTTAAAAATACATATTTTTTGAAATGATGAAAATTTCAAAAAAAAGTTAAAGAGTTAAAGAAAGTAAATTTCCTGGCATATAAAAAAAATGGTATCTGAGAAAGAAATATCTGGAAGTTCTACTCCTGGGGAACAGAAGGAAGATTAGAAGGAAGGGAAACAGTAATTCCACCAGTTGACCTTGACTGGAGCAGAAATTGGGAAAACATTTGTGAAGGTTGGGAACAAAGGGGCACAAGGACCTTCCTGATCAACAATGGGAAAATTTCAGTCTTAACTGTGTTTTTACAGTATTCTATATATAATTTACTTAATGTATAAATCTAGTGAGTGTTTTAGCTAATTATCATTTGACAGGTAATTCAAATAATACAGAGTTCTAAATGTAAAAAAAAAAAAAAGGAGATTTCCAGGGGGATACTGGATAATTTTTTAAGGGGGCTGTAGGTCAAATAATTTTGGAAGCTTCTGCTTCTAGCTCTTCAAGTTTATAATCCTATTAATTTCTGGTACAGTACTAAATTCACTATTTTTTTTTTAGTTTTTAAGTTTATTTTAAACTTACATACAAAATAAGACAAAAAAAACACTGCCATGTACACTGCAGAACATGAAAGGATTCACTATAAAACAACAAATTTCCATTTCAAGAAAACCTATATAATAAATATTACACATGGTTTTCAAAGCTGTCCAGCTTTTCTTTGCTTCATTGTAGATTGTCTTTTGTTCTCTGCTGTGCACTTTTTACTTTATTTCTTCCCTTCTCCCCCCAAGAAGGATACAATTAAGCAAGGACAGATACATCTATATCTATCAATAGTATATATGTATATATGTGTGTGTAGAGACATATATGTCTGTGGATAGATCACTATCTAGATACAGATGTATATACACTGATACATAAATATGTAAGACCACACTATGCTTATTTGCATTTGTCATCTGCTTCTCTGAAGGTGGCTAGTATTTTCCTTCATAAGTCCAAGTCTTTCCATGTTTTTTTTTAAATGAATGAGCTCACCATTTTCTCTACCACAGCAATTTTCAAACCCAATCACATTCTATCTGAGAGACTGTCCATGAAAGTTTTTTTCCCCAATTTTCCACATTCTTTCTATTCTCTGCTTCATAGGTTTTATTTATACAAGAAAATTTTAATTTAAAATAATAAAAACTATCCATTTTATACTTCAACAATGCTCTCACCTTATAATATAGTTTAAGGTCTGATACTATAGAATCTGCTTCTTTTACATTTTTTCCACCTGGTTTCTTTGAGGTTCCTGACCTTTTGTTCTTCCAAATGAACTTTGTTATTATTTTTTTTCTAACTCAGTATGATTTTTTTTTTAGTAATTTAATTAGGATGGCATTATATAAATACATTAATTATGCAAAATTGTCATTTTTTATGATATTGGCTTTACCTGTCTATGAACAATAAATAATACTTCAATTATTTAGATCTGATTTTATTTATATAAAAAGTGTTCTATGTTTATGTTCATATAATTCCTGTGTCTGTTTTGGCAGGTATAAGCTTAGGTATTTTATACTGTCCAGGTATTTTCAAAGGCCTAAAACAATAATAGATAATATTGCTCACATAGTATAGTTTCCCTATTTTCTCTTTTGATTAAATCATTTTAGGTTTAACTTTAAGATCATGATTACTACCACTGCTTTTTACATAATAAATTCTGCTCCTGACCTCTGTTTTATCTTTGTATGTATCTCTCATTTTTATAGCATTTCCTGAAAGCAATATATTGTCAAATTCAAATTTTTAGTCTGCTATCAGTTTCCATTTTATGGGTAAATTCATCCCATTCACATTCTAAGCTAAAATTACTTATATATTTATCTCCTTCCTATTTTTCCTCACTATCCTTCTCACCCTATTCTTATCCCTCCTCCCTCTTCTGCTTTGCTTCCACCCATTATTCCTATTCCTTAACCTACCCACCCCTCTAAGAGTCCCTCCCTTATCCTCTCCCCCACCCTATTCCCTTGCTCTCTTATTTCTAAATTTCAAAAACTTTTATACATATATACATATTTACACATATGTGTGTGTGTGTGTGTGTGTGTATTATATATATATATATATGTATGTATAGTTCCCTCTTTAACCCATTCCTGAGGAGAATAAGGTTTCAGCACTACCTGCTCTCCCCCATACTAGTTTCCCCTACTATAGTATCTCATTTGCATGAGATAATTGCTCCTTTTTATCTCTCCTTAGTTTTTTTTATTGTTATTTAAGAATTACCCCCTCATAGTCAGCTCAGCCCAAGGTGTTCTTTCAAACTACCCAAATAAAAATGACAATCATAAAGGAACTGATAATATTTTCACATATAAGAAGTAAACAATTTGACCTTATGGAGTGTCCTATAATTGGTCCTTAATGTTTACCTTACATTTCTCCTGGATGTTATATGTCAAAATTTCCTTTAAGTTCTGCTGTTTTTTTTCACAAATACCTGAAAGTCCTTCAGTTCATTAAATATTCAATTTTTTTTTCATTCAGAATTATACTTAACTTTGCTGGGTAGGTTGCCCTTGGTAACCCCAGCTCTTTTGCTCTATGAAATATTATGTTCCAAGAACTATGGTTTTTCAACATAGTAGCTGCTAAGCCTTGTGTAATCCTTATTGTAGCTACAAAACATTTAATTTTTTTTCTTGTTCCTTCTAATATTTTCTCCTTAATCTGGGAGTTTGAAACTTGGCTATTATATTCTGTAAGTTTTCCTCCTGGGATCTCTTTCAGTGGTAATTGGTGGATTTTTTTCTATTTCTGCTTTGCCTTCTTGTTCTAGAACTTCAGGGCAATTTTTCTTGATAATTTCTTGTAATATTGTATCAAGATTCTTTCTCTTATCACAATTTTCAGGTAGTACAACTATTCTTATGTGATTTCTCCTCAATCTGTTCTCCAGATCAATTGTTTTTCTGATGATGTTTCACATTCTCTTCTTTTTTTTCTTTCTTTTGATTTTGTTTTGTTATTTCTTGGTGTCTTAGAATGTCATTAGCTTCCTTTTGCCCAATTCTAGTTTTCAAGGAATTATTTTCTTCCTTAAGTTTTTGGTTCTCTATTTCAAGTTGGTTAACTTTCTTTTCATAATTTTCTTGATTTTCTTGGTGTGCTTTTATTTTTTTCTAATTTTTCCTCGATTTCTCTTAATTGATTTTAAAATCCTTTTTAAGTTCTTCCAAGAAGTCTTTTTGTGCTTGGGACCATTTGACAATTCTCACTGAAAAAGGAGTAGCTTTTTTTGAACTCCATTATCTTCCTTTGAATGTGAACCCAGATCTTCTCTATCCCCAAAGTAGCTATCTATGGTTGGATTCTTTCTCCTTTGTGTACTCATTTTTTTTTGTTTTATTTTGTTTTTAGCAGCTATTAGTGTAAACAAGTTGTAGTCCCAAGGTATGGGGAATGATGTTTCAAGCCTCAGGCCCTTCTTAGTGTCATTTTTTTTGAGGTCTGTCCTGGTGTTCAACCTTAGCCTCTCCTCTCTACTCCTAAGACAAGGCTAAAGCCCCCAGTCATGCTGTCCACAAATGATCTTACTCCCTGTGATCCCTTAGGTAGCTGAAAACTACAGCTGTCCTTTCTGCCCTAGAACTGCAACTAAGGACTCTGCTCTCCTGAAAATGCTCTCAACCAGCAGGGTCCTCAACCCTCTGCACTCACTAAGTATGTGCTAGCTCCTTCTCCCCCTACAGTGGCAGCCCAGCCCAGGACATGTCTGGTCAGCACAGCTAGGCTTGGTGCTCCTCAACACTGAAAAGTCCTTCAGTCTTCTACTCAGGCATCAGACCCACTCACTGTCTTTGAGATGAAAATTTCTAAGGTTGAGGCTCCCCCCCCAACCCCAGCTACCCCCACAGCTTGTTGTTTATTAATTGGGAAGAATAGGCCTTGAGGTGCTTGCACTTCACTCAGGCAGAACCTCTGTCCCTGAAGTCAGGAGGTCAGGTCTTTCCTGGGGTGTTCTTAGGTTGTCTTAGGAGAACAAATGCTTTACCCTGACTTTTGTTTATTTCTGCCACTCCACATTCCCTCTGAGGCAATGTTCTGTCTTTTTTGTTGGAGGAAATTTGGAGAGCCATGTTTTCTGATCTACTCCACCATCTTCCCAGAATCCTCTCTTAAATTAAAAAAAAAATTGAAAATAGTGTAGCTCCTTGAGGCAGGCTTTCTTTCTGTCTTTATTTATTTTGCTAGATGTAGGTGTGAGTGGTAATGTTGTTGGCAAGGACAATTGGGCAAATATTTTTTTTCCTCACCACAGCAGTGCCCGTCTCTTTTTTTTTTAACACTGCTTAATTAGGAGTTTGAGTGAAGTCTCTTTTTCCCTATTGTTTCACTTAGTAGGTAGTCTGACTGAATTGCCACAGTGTCACAGAATGTCCATGTCTGAAAGAGAGAGGTGGCCAATCTTGTCCAAAGTGCCAAAGAAGCTCTACAGTCCTTTTGAATGATGGAACTCATTATATTATCGGGTTGAAGGAGGTGGGGAGAAATGGGAAGAAGGTAGGGTTTTTCTCTTAGAAATTTTGTCCAGACCTAGTGATACATGAGAACCTAGCCTTTCCCCTACTGCCTGTTCCTAGGGAAAGGCTGGAAAAAGCAGAAAGAGGAAGGGACTTTCATACAATGCCTGGCCACCATGAGTGTACTCCTTTGGTCTCACTCAATGAAAGGTATAGAGCCTATCCACTACTGCTAATGGTGGTGAAACTACCTCAGAATTTCTGAGGCATAATTGCTTGCCAGAAATTGTAGAGATGCAAAGCAGATTGAGTCAATGAAACTTCCTCTAGCTCCACTGTTCATTCTAGTCCTATGGGGAGAAAAGTGGAGAAGGGAAGGAGACTTCTAGGATGGAGAAGCTGATGTCCAAATCTCTGGGTTCTTATTCTCAGCAGTATTAGACCAGGAAAACTGAAGCTGGGGTTTTCTTTTTTTTTTTTTCTTGAAAGGGAGTAAAGAAGTTTTTTTTTCAAATTTTATTTTTTTAATTTTGATTTATCAACAATCACTTCCATATGCTTTTGAGTTTAAGATTTTTCTCCCCTTCCTCCCCACCACCCTCCCCAAGACAATGCACAATCTGACATAGGCTATACATTTACATTCCTATTAAACATATTTTCACATTAGTGAAGTTGTAAGTAAAAATAACTCACTAGTGTTTTGCTTTTGACTACCGCCTCCCTCAGTTCCTCCCTCCATTTCTGTTTTCTCACCCTTTAGCCTTACTGCTTCTTCCCTTCCTTCTATCCCCCCTCCTTTTTCTTTCCCCCTTTCCCTCCTATTGCCTATAGGGCAAGTTAGATTTCTATACCTTACTGATTATGCTATTCCCTTCTTGAGCCAAATCTGATGAGAGTAAGGTTCAAACAATGCCCACCCCCCCCGCCCTTCTTTCCCTCTGCTGTAATAGGATTTTGTGTCTTTTCCTGTAATGTAATTTACTCTTGTCTACCTCCTCCTTTCTCAGTACATTTTCTAAAATTAGACTTTAATCTTTAACCCACTTGATTAGATTTTTTTTTATCATCACATCAGAGTCAACTATCATCCATCCCCTTTATGTATACTCCTTTAACATGGTGTAATAACAATACAGTCCTCTAGAGCTGCAAGTGTCATCTTCCCTTGTAGGGATGTAAACAGTCCACCCTTATTAACAACATATTTTATCTTTCCGTCCCATTTACCTTTTTAAGTCCTACTTGAGTCCTGTACTTGAAGATCAAATTTTTTGTTGAGCTCTGGTCTTTTTATCAGGAAGGTTTGGAAGTCCCCTATTTCATTGAATATCCATCTCCTCCCTTGAAAAATCATGCTCATTTTTGCAGGGTAGTTGATCCTTGGCTGCAGTCCAAGCTCCTTTGCCTTAGGGGAATATCATGTTCCATGCCCTGTGGTCTTTTAATGTAGAAGCTGCAAGGTCCTGTGTAATCCTGACTGTGGTTCCATGATATTTAAATGCTTTCTTTCTGGCTGCTTGCAGCACCTTCTCTTTCATCTGATAATTTTGGAATTTTGCTATTATATCCCTTGGCGTTGTCAATTTGGGATCTCTTTGAGGTGGTGAGCTGTGTATTCTTTCTATGGTTATTTTACCTTCTGGTTCTAGGACCTCTGGGCAGTTTTCCTTTATGATTTCCTGAAAGATACTGTTCAGGTTCTTTTTTTCATCATGATTTTCAGGTAGTCTAATAATTTTTAAATTGTCTCTCCTGGATAGATTTTCCAGGTCGGTTGTTTTACCAATGAGGTATTTCACGTTTTCATCTATTTTTTTCATTTTTTGGTTTCTGTTTGACTGGTTCTTGCTCTCTCATAGACACATTAGTTTCCATTTGTCCAATTCTAGTTTTTAACAGATTGTTTTCTTCTGTTAGTTTTTTTACTTCCTTCTCCAACTGGCCAATTGTATTTTTAAGGGATTTGTTTTCTTCAGTGTACTTTTTTTTACAGTTTACCAATTGTGTTTTTAGGGACTTGTTTTCCTCAGTGTACTTTTTCTCCAATTTGGCAATTGTATTTTTTAAGGACTTTTCTACTTCTCTCATTAGACTTTTAAAATCTTTCTTGAGCTCTTCTAAGAAGGCTTTTTGGGCTTCAGACCAGTTCATATTCCCTTTTGTTGTTGCAGATGTGGGTTTGTTGACAATGTTGTCCTCTTCAAAATTTCTGTCTTGATCTTCACTCTTCTCATAATATGAATCTATGGTACGTTTCTTCTTACTCATGGTGTTTCTTTATTCCCTGGCCTTTAACGAGATTGAGCTCTCCTGCTGGCAAACAGAGGGGGCACTGACCCAAGCTTCTTGTGTTGGGAGCCTAGGCCCTTGGTCACTGGCTTTGTGTGCTGGGGCCTCTTATGTTGGCAATTGGAAGCTGTAGGGTTCTGGCAGCTTACTTCATATTGGGCTGGAATCAGCAAGGCTGGAACTTTCAGGCAGTTCTAGGTTGCCTGCTTTTCCTTTCCTTTAGCTTTCTTCAGCTCCTTTTAGATGGGTTCTGCAGGGTGTGTATCTGCCTGGGGTCCCTTGTAATGCTGCCTCCCTCGTTTCTGCTAATGCACTGGGAGATTCCTTTGTGGTAGAGTGCCGAGGCACCTGGTGGTTTTCTGAGCTGGTTTTCACCAGTTCCCCCACCCTCACTGAGGCACTCGGAGGTCCAGGTGTTGGTGTTTACCTGCTCCACCACCTGGGCTTCATGATCTCTTCCTGGGGTTCTGACAGCTTACCTGGTGTTGGGTTGGAATCAGCAAGGCTGGGGCTTTATGAAGACTTTAGGTTGCTTTCTTTGGCCCCTTTCAGATGAATACTGCAGGGTACTTATCCTCATGGGGCCCTTTGTAGTGCTGCTTCCGTTATTTTTGCTGAGGCACTGGGAGACCCATTTGCTGGGCTGCTGCACTGCTGTTCCCCATCTTTCTTCTAGTTCAGCTGTTCAAGGGTGTTTTTTTTTATGGGGTGATATTTTCAGAGGTTGATAGGGGAGGGTAAGAATGATTACCTTTTTACTTCTCCATCTTGGCTCCCAGAAGTGAAAGTCCTGGGTTTTTTTGAAGAGGATAAGATCACTACAGTCATGTAGCCTTGAATCTAGTTGGAGAGAAAAACCCAACTAAAGAGGAAAAAACACATGCTCAAAGCTAAGTTTTATAATATGCAAACCAAAGAAAATGCTGCAGGAGTTCTAAATATAGCAGAAAGGCTTGACTTTATGACAGAACAGAGAGAGAGGAAGATGTATGTTGTTCAGTTCCTCTTTTGGGAAACCTCAGAAGACTGCGTTCCATGGCCCTGACAAGCTGCCGGACACACAAGGATGAGGCAAGTGACCTTCTCAGAAAAGCCATGGCAGAGACACTATGAAGACCACCTATGAAGCCACTGCCAGGCCTGCTGAACTGCAGAATTCACAGAAGGACATGTGAAGGAAGAGCCTGATGGCATGTGAGGCTAGGTGCCTCAAAGGTCCTAAGATGAAAGGTAGACAAATGAGCAGGCCACAGAACCCTACCAGCCCCCCTTGGTGCCCCACAGCTCTCCACAATCAACACACATAAAGCAACCTAATTTTTGTAATTTAAAAATTCAAATGTTGACCTACCCTGGGTAGAAATCACTGCTGGTGCAGCTCTTATTTTTTTTTTCCTCTGATGAGCACATCAATAACTACTTGTGTAATATGCCTGGGAAAGTTCTCTGTTACTCATTGGCAACACATCCTTAAAAACCAAGGTTGAGAGGGCTGGTATATCTGGTACATAAATTAACCTCAATGGGAAATATATTTGTTCTAAAACATAAACTACTGGCAGCACAGCATAGAATAATATTTCCATCTTTATCAGATCCTTCTCTTCTTACTACAAATATACTATTATTTGAAACAAAAACTTTGCTTGACTGCATGATCCCTTCAAGCTATTATCTTCTTTTTCTATGCTCAAACTGGTTGCTAACAGAACTGGGAGATTTAATTACTGAGCCATTATCAGATATTTGAAAGATCATGGAAAAGAGAAGGGCTACTAATATTTTGATGTTTAAAAAGGAAATAGAACTGAGTCTGCACAGACTATAAGTCAATTAATTTGACTTGGATTCCTGGAAAAATTCTAAGACAGATCATTAAAGAGATGGCTAAACATTTGAGGAGGGATCTATTGATCATAAAGAGGCTTTAGTAAGAATACCCCACCAAACTTCCTTTTTTTTTTTGTTTGATTGAGGGAGGCTGAGAGACAGAATTACTAAACTAGTAGACAAAGGAAATGAAAAGTATCTCATATTATTCTTGTGGAGAAGATAGGGAGATGTGGACTAGAGGATAATACAATTAGATGGTTTCAGAGCTGGTTTGGCTGGTTGAATGGCTGCAATGAAAGAGTAGCTGTTAAATGGTTCAACGCTAATGTGGCAGTAAGTCTGCAGTGGAGTACTTCAAGAATGCCAAATTCAAATCTGCTGTTTGATATTTTTATCAATGACTTGGATAAAATTAAGGATAGCATGCTTATCAAATTCTTAGACAACATAAAACTTACAGAGACAGAGAGACAGGATCCAAAAAAAAGATCTTGACAGATTAGAGCATTGGCCTGAATCTAGTAAAATGAAATTCAGTAAGGAATAAATGTAAACATTTAGATGTGATTGCAAAAAAAAATATAACTTCATAAATACATGATGTCAGAGGCATGATTACATAGTTACATAGCTCTGGAACAATTCTATGTAAAGTTCATTTGTGGTACACAGCAAATCATAACTTTTCTCTGCTAAGGACAACAACAATTATGCCACAAATAGCATAGGTTTTATGTAACAAATCAATTCTTAACTACAGAAACTAAGTGGGACTAGAATTAGGACTAATTATTTCTACATAAGTCCCTAGATGTTACAATACAGATTTCAGATGAATGGGGAACTTATGATAATGATTGCACAGTTCATTTCCTGTCATCTATACTTCTAACAGGAAAGACCAAGTAAGGAAGTTAATCATTACAAGCATTCATACTTTAAGCTAAAAAAAATAACTAAAAACATGAACTGAGAAGATAGGAAGAGCTAAGGAGGAGTCACATTCATAACAAATAATATGCAAAGGTAACATAAGATCTACAGAAGAATCATAATTTGAAAAACTAGATCTCCAAGACTGCTTTAAGTACATACAGAATTTTGTGTTTGAGATTTTCCTATTTGCATTTTAAATCTGAAAAAGCAGTAATGCTAAAAAGGACTCTATAGCTATGAGAAAGTCAGAATTAGGGAAAAATCAGCAATTTAAAAATATTTTTCATTATAAAAATAGAGTACCTATTAAAGCTTTCCTAGATTTTTTTTGGTCTATTATCTACATAAAGGTATTAAACACAGTAATTTTTAATTTTTTTCTACTCTTTAAAAATCTAGAAAATTACCCTCCCCTATTCCAATGAGCACGATGAATCATTCTTTGGAGGTTGAATGAAATAATACAAGAAAGAAGAGAATGATAAAACATACATCGTACAGGAATTAGACTAAAGCTCAAGGTGATACTTTTCTATTTACTTGTAAAGCATACCCTAAACTAATTATAGTTATGTGCCAATTGCATAACATTTTGATTCCAAGTTCTAATTTGTATAATTACATGATTTGCTCAAGTTGTTCAACTTTTAGGTACCTTGAGGATTCTGTGCACATTCAGTCAGTCAAAAAGCATTTATTGGGTACATACTAACTGCTAAGCAAGTGGGGACACAAAGAAAGTAAAAACAAACAAAGCAGTCCCTGCCCTCAAGGAATTTACACTCTAATGAGGGAGATAAACATAAGCATAACTAGGTAAATACAGGCCTTCATAGATAAAAGTCAATGAACACGTACAATGATATTATAGAATCATATTATGATAATTATATATGACATAATATATGTGATTATTTGAATGTAGGTAACATGTATTTGAGGTGAAGGAAAAGGTATAGAAGTGGTCCTGTCTACCCAAACTAATTCTCAATCATATCTGACTTATTTTTGTGATCTTCTAGATGTGTGTGAAGTAGAGAGGCAATGAAAATCAAGAGCAAAAAGAAGGTGAAGAAAAAAGCTCTTAGGAATGGTTTGTACCGATTTAGAAATGGAGTATTAGAATTACAGTAGTGTAGAAAATATTTCTGCCCCTTGATTTCCCTTTTCCTACCTACCTTCAAGAAGCAATCTAACCTGATATATGTTACTCTGGAAAAAAAAAGTACAGTTATTAAACCTTCCTGTCTTTATCCCATCAAACTTTTCCAAAGTCATTCCATAACTGATTAAGTGAACCAGTTATCATGCAGGTGGGTGAGTGTATAGGGTGTGTCAACATCTCTTAATTGAGCTACACAGCCCTTCAAAACAAAGCAAATTTCATATGTACAAACATGCAAGTCTATTAAAAACAAGCCAAGTGAATCACTCATGCCCCTTCAAAAAATGTTTCCTCAGCTTTCCATAACAGCTGAGCTCAAGAGTAAACTATTTCAGCTCTGGTTCAAGGCAATCTCTGGCTAGGTCTTACCGTACACACTTGAATCAAGAAAATCCATAGTTAAAAAATATACATTAGTAGATCGAAGCAGGCCATGCAGAAAGGTGAATGTCTAAATTGGTTACGATGACTCACCAACTTTCTCATCCCTAGAGGCAGCTGTCTTTCTCTAGATCAGAGGGAGGCAACCTGGCTGACCAGAACTTTGTATTGTTATAGCTCAGGCAGAACCTAACATATGAACAAAAGGACTTCAGTCTTCAAAACACTCAAAGTTAACACTTCATTAACAAGTAACAAAAAAAAGATTATTTGAACTCCTCATAATTACATGTGTCATGGTATCAGTGGAATTGATGAACAAACCTATCAATCACCAGAAGAAAAGAAAAGCCACTAGTGTGGCATGTAATTGATAGCCAAGAGCATCACCTGAAGGACAGGGTGATTGTTACAAATATTTTTTTTTCAATTTTTATTATTATTCTTTTTGGCAAATGTCTTTTAGACCATGTGTAAGCTTCCATTTCTGGCCCTTCCCAATTACCTTTCCTGTTTCCTCTTCTTACTCTAAGATATTCCTTCCTCTCAACAGGCTTTGGTTTACAGAAGTGAGGCGAGTTTCCTGAGCTATGCTACAGAAGATGTTATATAAATCCTGGGCCCTAATAATGTGAAAGAACTGTTAAAATACAAATGAAAAGTCATTTATAGTTCTCTAACCTATCTCTGCAAGCATTTTTTTCTTACATATATTTTGTTGTCCTTTATTGTACCATTTCTATATTAAAATAATCTTAATCAAAAGATGAGGAGAAATTGAACTATTCCACATTAAGGTACTCTGTACTACTGTATTATAATCTCTAATTGCCCTTAATATTGTTTAGCATTAATTTATTATTAATATTAATTAATTGAAAGATGACAATTTGAAGTCACAGGATCTAAGTTCAAATCAAATCACTAACAACACTTAATCTTTTTGAGCCTTAGTTTCTTCCTCTCATCTGTAAAATGAGAGGATTGGATTAGATAGCCTTTAAGGTTCTTTTCATTTTTAAATCTGTGATCCTAAAGTATCAGTTCCAACATTCCATTTGAGAGAAAGATTGCTCAGCACCCATTTAAGTAATAAGAACAATTATACCATTCATGTCATCATACAGCAATTCTAAATACATTAACATTTATGTGGATGTAAAAAAAAATTCTATAATTCCTTAAATTACCCTGATCATTTTCTGGTTTCTGTTACAAAGCTACATTTTACAAAGCATTTCTCTGCTTCTAATAAAGAAACCAAGATCATCCAAGAGACACTTTTTTTTTAAAGGAAGGCTCTTCACAATTCAATTTTGCAATCACAGTTAACTTATGAGTATAAAAATAACTATGCCCACAGCTTCTCTTTCCCTTTATTTTATGAGTTTAAATCATCAAATCTAAGTAACACTAATTAGACTTGAAATATTCTGTTATAAAAGGAGACCTGAAAATAGAAACTGCTTTGTCTCCACTCTTTTTCATGAAAGGAATTTTCAACATTCTATGA